GTTGTGGAAAGGGCGCAAGCCTAGTTTCTCACAAATTCAAATTTGGGGTTGCCCTGTACATGTCTTAGTGCAGGAGGCTGGCAAGTTGAAGAAACGATCAGAAGTGAGACTGTTTTTAGGCTATTCCAAGGAAACGAAAGGTGGTTTATTTTATAGTCCTGAGGATCAGAAGGTGATCGTTAGTACGAACGCTAGATTCTTGGAAGAAGATCATATGATAGATCATAAGCCCAGTAGTAAACTTATCCTAGAGGAGTTAGAAGAGATATCGATAGTTCCCCACCGAGTACGCAAATAGATACGTCACATAGTACTGCAACACGTAACACTGATAGTGTGCCAGTACAGACGGTACCTCGTCGTAGTGGGAGGGTTTCTACACAACCCGACCGATGGATAGGTCTTGGAGAGTCATCGGACTCAGTTCTAGGAGACCTAGAATCGGACCCAAGAACTTATGACGAGGCACTCCAAGATAGAGATGCAAATTCGTGGAAGGTTGCAATGAAAGCTGAGATGGGGTCTATGGACACCAATCAGGTCTGGGATCTTGTAGAACCACCCGATGGGATACGTCCCATTGGATGCAAGTGGGTTTACAAGAGAAAGAGGGGATCGGATGGAATGGTGGAAACCTTTAAAGCTAAGCTTGTTGCGAAAAGTTATACACAAAAAGAGGGTATCGATTATGATGAAATCTTTTCGCCAGTAGCTATGCTTAAATCCATTCGGATTCTCTTAGCTGTAGCCACTCATATGGATTATGAAGTCTGGCAGATGGATGTTAAGACGGCTTTCCTTAATGGGAACCTTCAGGAAGACATCTATATGCAGCAACCAGAAGGATTCATTGCAAAAGGGCATGAGCACTTAGTTTGTACGCTTAATCGGTCCATTTATGGTCTGAAGCAAGCCTCAAGGTCTTGGAATATTCGGTTTGATGAGGTAATCCAGTCATATGGATTCACCCAATGTCCGGATGAGCACTGTGTATACAAGAAGATTAGTGAAAGCGTGGTGGTGTTTCTTGTGCTATACGTGGATGACATACTTCTTATTGGCAACAACAAGAAGGAGTTGTTGGACGTAAAGGCGTGGTTGTCTAGCAGTTTGATATGAAGGACTTGGGTGAAGCAGGACACATTCTTGGTATCAAGATCATTCGTGATCGTGAGAAAAGAATGATGTGCTTATCCCAGTCTTCATATATAGATACTATCTTGGCCAGATTCAATATGCAGAACTCTAAGAGAGGTACATTACCTTTCAGACATGGAGTACCTTTATCTAAGGAGTTGTCTCCCAAGACGACTAAGGAGATAGAGGACATGAAGACAGTTCCTTATGCTTCAGCAGTAGGAAGTCTCATGTATGCAATGCTGTGCACTAGGCCTGATATTAGCTACGCCGTTGGCATGGTAGCGAGGTATCAAAGTAATCCAGGAAGGGAACATTGGGCTGCGGTGAAACATATACTCAAGTACCTGCGAAGGACTAAGGAGTACATGTTAGTTTACCGGGCAGACAGTTTGTCTCCGCTGGGTTACAGTGATTCTGATTTTCAGTCAGATAGGGACGAGAGTAAGTCAACCTCAGGTTATGTGTTTACCTTGGGAGGTGGAGCCATTTCATGGAGGAGTTCTAAGCAAAAGTGCGTAGCAGACTCCACTATGGAAGCCGAGTACATCGCAGCCTCTGAGGCAGCGAAAGAGGCAGTTTGGCTCAGAAACGTCTTGGTGGACTTAGAAGTAATTCCGAGTTTGCCACGTGTTATTACCGTGTACTGTGATAACAGTGGTGCAGTAGCAAACTCAAGGGAACCACGAGCCCACAGAGCAAGGAAACACATAGAGCGCAAATACCACCTTATCAGAGATATTGTGGCAAGAGGAGAAGTTGAGATCACCAAGATTGCATCAGAAGACAACCTAGCTGATCCTTTTACGAAGAGTTTGCCGGAAAAGGTCTTCGCCAAACACGTAGAGGGAATGGGAGTCAAATGTATGGTGATAGGATCGACATAGGTCTTCTAGGATACGGATTGATAGGACTATGCTAGTAAAGCGGCAGCTTTAAGTATAAGTGGGAGATTGTTGGTGTTATATACTTAAGCTTTGCTTTAGTGGATATTACACTTGTTA